AAAAAAAAAAAAAATCACCCGGCGCCGGCTGCCTTCTTCACTTCTTCCCGGCGGCACTTCAAGCTCCCGGCGGACCCAGCACGAGCGGCCGCGGGGGCTGGCCAGGTGCTGGGTCCGCCTGGAGCAGTGTATGTTAAGTTGGCTGACTGTCACTTGAAGGTAATCCTTTGGCGTGGGCAGTATGTCTAGTGCTAAGCTGCAAGGCCTCTCCTTTTTCTCTGTCATTTAGATCTTTGATGCTTCTTGACATTTGCTTGTTTTCTCGACTTTATATTTGCAGTTGGATAGCAAGCACGAAGCTGCTAATGCGTATTCTGATGCAGCTCATTGCTACAAAAAGACTAACACCAAAGGTGCTCATCTTTCTCGTGGAAGTTCATAAATTTATCAATTTCATGAGATTTCTTTCTATTTAACCGTTTATGTTGAGGTTTATGACACCAATTTGCTGTGGATGGTAGTTGGCCCAATTTCCAAAAGATGTCACAGGGATTAATTCCTTTCTTGTTTTGTCGTCCTCCACTTCTTTGCTGCCATGGGGGTTCGGTATGAATAACATGGTCGAAATGTCCACTTATGAGTGCTAAACTGGTTGATCTCATATATATAATTTGCTTGCTTCACCTAATGAGTCTTCATATCTCATTCCTTTTCATCCTCACATGGTGGAAATGACCACTTTCAAGGTTTAAACTGGTCTATCTCATATATAATTTGCTTAATCTCAGATTTTTCATTCGCGTCTTGTTGTTTTTGCTTGCTTCATCTAATGAGTCTTTATATTCCTTTTCATCCTCAATTTTGGAAGATGTAAATATTTGTTTATATTGGATGTCTGCAGAGTCAATATCATGCCTGGAGCAATCTGTAAATTTGTTTCTGGAGATTGGAAGGTTCAATATGTCTGCCAGATATTGTAAGGTAGAAACTTCAATTATATATTATATCGTCGTATGTCATGACATGATCAAAACAACTCTTATTTGTAATCAAGTTCCGCGCTTAATTATTGACAAAGATGATTAACTCAGTTTTGTTGACTTTTTTAAAATATTATTGATCGAAAAATTAATCATGGTGCGGACAACGCCTGGTCTCATAAATCTAGAAAGGTAATATGTATTTTGATGAATAAATTGAAAGATCATAATTTGGGATCTCCCTTCTTCCGCAGGAAATTGCAGAATTGTACGAGCAAGATCAGAACTTGGAACAGGCTATTGTTTTTCCTGAAAAAGCCTGCGATCTTTTCCAAAGTGAAGAAGTAACAACTTCGGCAAATCTGTGCAAGCAGAAAATTGCTAAATTTGCTGCTCAACTTGAACGGTAAGTTTGCCTGCTCTAGATAAACATATGTTGTCAGATTGTATTACATTCTAATCAGTTTATGCAATAAAAGAATGACATATCTCATGTTTCGAGAACTGCATTTTCTGGGAAATTCTCTCTATTACATCTAACCTATACTTTTTGTATTAGTTATTTTCATTACATGCTAGATTTTTTTCACATTCAGCATCTGGGTATTTTAGATGTGTGATTATCCATCTATTTAACATTTTTCTATTGATGGGATTGCCTTGTATTTTTTTCCTTAATTCTGACAATTTATTTCGACTGACTGTAAATTGTAGTACCTTTTTGGTGAACTCCTCTTTAATTGTAATCTGTAATTCCCAAGAATGCCCATACATGTTGACATTCCATGCGAACAAACACCTTAGCAATGAAATCAAATTAACTACTGACAACCATCAGTACATCCCACCCCTCACTTCACACTGTCCAAATACCATCAATTATCCATTTTTTTGTCCCAATCATTTTCCAATTATTTCCAGCATTTTATGTTATCTTACAACTTGGACTGCTGTGGATTATTATTAATTTATTGCTATCCTTGCATTATGATTTTATTTAGGGCTTGTTTGAGCCCCATTTTTTGAAAAAATAGATTTTGTTGTAGTGATTTATTTTATTTTATTTTATTTTTGGAGAATGTGTGGTTAAAAAATAGGAAAAATTTTGGGTTTACGTGTAAATTTATTTTATTAAAAGAATGTGTGATTGAAAATGAATTTAAGAACAATGAGTTTTTGAAGAATGAGGCTCATACAGGGCTTAATAAACTTAATGAAAATATTATTGCATGTGCCATTACATATAAGCGCATAGATAAGTATGAATATCTTTCTTTGGTTAAACAAGCAGAGGAAAAGAATCATAAATGTTTATTAGAAAAATGCTTGTCTAATCTGCAGCTATGAAGTTGAATTTGCGTCAGTGCGTGATGTATTGTGGTAGAAGAAATTAGGAAGTCCGCTAAAATAAATAATTGTCAACATTTCTTCAGTTATCAGAAAGCAGTTGAGATATATGAAGAGATGGCGCGGCAATCACTCAATAATAACTTGTTGAAGTATGGAGTTAAAGGTCATCTTCTTAACGCGGGTATTTGCCAACTCTGTAAGAGTGATGTTGTTGCAATCAACAATGCGCTAGAGCGATATGAGGTATTACTGTTGCTTTTTGTCCATTTATGGAATGCTACACCATTCTTGATATAAGTTCTGAGGATATGCATGTACATTTCATTTTGAAGGAATTGGATCCAACATTTTCAGGAACACGGGAGTACAAATTGCTTGCGGTATGTTATAGCACAAATATATCTTTTACTTTTGCCATTTTCCTATCTTTTTTCCCTCTCTGTCTTCCATCTGAAGGAGAATGTGTATCGAGTTATAACAAATAAACATTTCATATTTGTATGTACTTCAATTGTCATTTTATGCTTGCTTTCTATTTTTATTGCTATTGATGAAGTTTACAATCTTTTATCTTTTATATGGTTTTTCTTAATCTTTATGTATCCTCACTTTTTGGTACCTTAAAAAACAACAGCTGTTAACATTATAAATTGTACCTCTTACCTTTATGTGTGCTCATCACAGGATCTAGCTGCTGCAGTTGATGAGGAAAGTGTTGCCAAGTTCACTGATGCTATCAAGGAATTTGATAGCATGACCCAACTGGTAATTAAGCTATGCTATTTAAATTTATTTTCTATTCTTTTTTAAATTGACTTCTTAATACATGGCTTAATTTTGAAAGCAGCAGATGCATATTTTCATCGACATCAAATTCAATTGACTTCAATGTGAAGCATTGGGTGAATGGCTTAATCTAGGCTGTATTTTAAAAGTGAAACAACCATTTTTTTTTTGACTCTAGTAGTTACCAACCTCAAAATCAGTTTTGTTTCTTGTTTCTCCTTATTGAATGACCCCACAATATTCTTAGATCTTCAAGTGTTTTAAATTTGTCTCTAGAACTAGAAATCAGTTATCTGTTTGAATTGTGGTCATAGTTTTCCTTGTTAGATTTTTATTATCTTCTAGGGGAAGAGTGCACAAAGTGATGAAAATAGAAGGAAGAGAAAAGAAAAGGCTGACTTCAATTACCATTCTCAAATATGATATTTCTATGGTCTATGCATACCTTCCGATATTCAGTTGTTACAGGTTTATAGTTTCCTGTAACTTTACCTTTTCATTTCATTATGTTTCTTTCCCACCAATAATATCAAATCCTTTGCAACCGTGTTAGACCATGTGTATTATTCAGAATGGTTTATCAGTGCAATAAAGACTCGCTTTCGATACTATCTCCTCTTACCGTGCTATTATTTTGCTTGACGAAATTGGAGCTTATGAAATACATGCTATCGAGTAAGTTGGTAGTCTTGAAATGCATGCCACCAAGAGTTTTGAGAAAGCAACTAAGATCTATAGAAATTTGTAACTGTTTGGCTATCAATAATTAGTCTCGCAAGAAGATAGCATGGATGAGTGATTATATTTTGTTACAGGTGCATTGGCCCAGCAGATAATGGGATAACTCTGATTCTGTATCGAAGAACTTATAATTGAGCTGACTTAATTGATCAGTTCAAATTTGAATTTGTTACTATCCCATCTAAGTCAGCTCTGAAGTTTTTCCTTTTTGTGTAGTAACATTACATTACTAACTTTTTTTTTCCACTTGTACTTTGCTCTTAGGATGCGTGGAAGACGACTCTTCTACTGAGAGTCAAGGAAGCATTGAAGGCTAAAGAGCTAGAGGATGATCTTACCTAAATCTAATTTTCTTCTACAGCATCGACATGCATTTTGTTCTAATAGTGACTCTGTGTAATCGTTCATTGTGTCATGTGCATTCTTACTCGGAGTTTTTTTGTGTACTGCTATGAGATTTCTCATTGGAGTGAATATGATTGCATCTGTAAACAACGAGTTTGTAATTTAAGTGCAGTAACTTTAACAATTACAATTTACTCAAACATACTAGTTTTAATTTTTTTTAAGTCCAGATTGTTATCAAGTTCACTTTGTTTGGTCAATGTCATGAGCATACTCTGACATGCATGGAGATCATTAATCAATTTGCCAAAGTTGTTTACTGCATTGCCAGGATAATTGCTAAACTAACATAAGTATTCAAGCTGGAAGTTCAAACAGTAAGAAGAACGTTACATAATTAAAATAAGCTGGAGTCAAGTCACCGTACGAAATTACACGGCCAAACAAATCTATTCCCAAATTCCTCAAAAAGAAAGAGGTCAAACTAAAGTTACTGCTGATTGAAATTTTCAGCCACATTACTTCAGGTATTACTTGTTATGTCCAACGAATCCAGACATAACGACAACCCAACGTAACAAAACATTTATACCATATTTTTGTATAATAACATTAGAGCCGAACGGCCTTAAGGAATTCCCTGATAACTTCGAGTCTCGATAGACATTTCATATCATATCATTTTGGCCCGAATGTTTATAGCATTTTATATTAAGATTAATAAAGAATATGTAAAACTAGAACGTAACACTTGGGTACCACCTTTTAAAATCTTGCTTCGATACTCACAAAATTGTAGATTTTTGTGCCTCTTGAAACTGCTCCAAAACCTTATAAATTTATTAATTTTCCTCCCTAAAAGATAGAGCAATATGAGAATGTGTGTTTTTGCGTTCTTACAAATGTATAGAGAGAGTTCTTGAGACTAGAGATATGAGTTGTGTGATAATTGTGAGGTAGTTTCAGAGTTAAGTGGGATAAAAGAGAGAGAAATGAGAAGAAATATTTGGGATAGCCTTTTTTGTGTGTGTGTGTGTTTATGTGCATATTATACTATGATCTCCATCCTAACAATTGTAATAAAGCCTTCTATACAAGTTGGAAAAGAAAATAATTTAACTTAATTGTTAATAACCATATCTTATAACGGTATGCGTGACGAAATGTTTGGAGCGCTACATTGGATATGCAGAAAGAGATACTTAAGCGCAGGGCCAGCCCTGCCTTGGGCCACAAATTTTTAGGGGCCTCACAAAAAAAAAAAAAACAAAAACAAAA